TATATATATATATATATATATGCACATGTCGAGGAGCGTGTCAGGTTACATTTCACTGTGTGTTATACTTGTATAACTATGCACGTGACAAATAAAGAACCTTGAACCTTACTTGTTGTCCCTAGAGTATTTATATCAGATGACTTAGATGAGACGTTTCACTGTGAACATCTTTTAATGGTGAAATCATTTCCTTTTCACAAGTAACAAAGGACCACATTTACTGTTTCTTTATCCAGCTGTATTGCCTTCAACCATCACAATAAACACAAAATCTGCCTAAAGATCACCTTTCGAGATGGCATAAGGAGGCGGAGCCAGAAGGTCCATTCAGCTCGTTGCCAACGGTGATGACGAGGTTGTGGTCCAGGGGAATCGGGCCACGTGGAGACAGAGACCTCTGTACGAGAAACACAAAAATTCAGCACTAAATCTCTCAGAGTAGAATACCGACAGGACAGCCCAGCGCCTGTGGCACATAATGGAAAAAAACGAACCTTTTCACCATCGGCGTGTGTGACCTGATGGAGATGTTTTATGGCAGCTTTGTGTTTTGTTTGGGGTTTTTTCAGGTTTCTGAGATTCTGATTACTCTACAGTTTCTAACCTGAGCGTTCCTGAGCTTACAGCGCCAAGTGTGGTGGGAGCAGAGCTGGATTCAGCCAAAGTCCTTCCTGAAGTATCTCCAGGCACTTATTCTGAAGAACTATAATCAACTAGAATTTTACAGGTCACTGGGACATAAACTTCACGGCTGAAACAGCACTTAAACCAAAGTAAGATTTTACAAAGCTCCTTGTCTTGCAAGCTAAACGTCTACCAACATCATTATTACCAACAAACATCCCAACAGTCCTGCTGTTTAGCATACGTGCTCCAGGTGCCCTTTCTTCTGCTCACCTTCAAGGCCCTTCATAACCTGGCTCCTCCTGATCTCTCTGACCGAGTCGTCGGGCAGACACGTTAAGCAATAAAACTAAATAATAAACGCGGTACATAAACTGAAAGCTAAACTCGCGATAAATTGGTCGTTTTTTAAAAGGGGTTTGGTCTAAATCTGATTCCAAACACACTCTTTATAAATGAGAAACGGATATTTTCCCTCTCAGCCGTATCCGTCCCCGTAGACCACCCAAACCGGTGTGTGTGCGGTAACCTGCCCCCTGTCCGGTGTGTTCGGCCCGTTCGGACCCCGGCTCTCTCACCTCTCTCGGCGGACCTCCGGTCCATAACTCCCCGCCGCGGTTGCTGTCTGAGCCCGGGGAAGGGTACCTCCTGCGCGGCGGGGAGCGGCGGTAGGGATCCGGGGGTCCGTGGTCGTGGTAGCCGGAGTGGTACGGAGGTCTGGGCCGGCTCCGGTCGTCCCTGTAGCCCGGGGCCGGGTAGGGCCTCGGCGGAGGCGGACCCCGGCCTTCAAAGGGAGGCGGGTAGCCCCCTCTCGGAGGAGGCCGACCGCGGTACATCTCCTTCCGCGGAGTTCCTGCGGCTCCTCGCGGGCACGCTGCGGAGGTCACTGAACGAAGAGGACCGAAGTGCGGAGCTCCGCGGATAGATTGCAGCTTTTTCTGCGGATATTCCAATACAAACGGAACTCAGAGCTTTAGCTACGGGCAACACAACGGCCTCCCGCTGCTTCTTCCTCTGCTGCTGCTGCTGCTCACCGACATAAACAGCGCGCAGCGAGCTGCTGCCACCCGAAGGCAGAAACCTGTACTGCACATTCACAGCAGCGCTCTCCTCGGCATCAGTTCTTCAACTCATCTTCCTCTGGGCCTTATTCTCAGTTTTCATCACAACAGCAGTACAATAAAATATTATATATATACAACTCTGTATATTTTTATATCA